ACAAACTTTTACCTACGCGTATTTTTACGTACCCACGCTAGAAAACCAGTCTCCGATCCGCAAACAAAAATAATTTGTAAACAAACCTTACTGATCTCTCTGTTTACCCTATATAAACTTAGAAATACCTGCAAATAGCTCCTGACCGGNTAGCTAAACTAAGAAGAGTGCTCGCGTACGTGATGCGATTTGCAAGGAATACACGAGTAAAGAAGGAACTGCGTCAGACGGGACCCCTGACAGCAACAGAGTTAAAAGGGACTGTGTCACGATTGTGCGCATGTGTGAGCTGTGACAGTAGCTGATTGTCTTTGAACCAATCGGAAGCGAGTAAGTTGCACGCGAGGAAATTTACACTATTTAAGATTCATTGTTCGCGAAGTGGGAGTCTTCCGGACGTATATCTTCGATTTTATACATATCCCCATAATTCATATTTATTCTCTGGTATTCCTCAGATAAGTGTTGCAGATGATAAGAATAAGATTAAAACCCTGTTCTGCTTTGAAACAAACTTTTACCTACGCGTATTTTTACGTACCCACGCTAGAAAACCAGTCTCCGATCCGCAAACAAAAATAATTTGTAAACAAACCTTACTGATCTCTCTGTTTACCCTATATAAACTTAGAAATACCTGCAAATAGCTCCTGACCGGTGATCAAAACACACTGTATAGGATGAGGCAAACGTTTTGCTTAAAATGCCAGCTAAATGCGCGCTGTAATAAAATAAGCCATGCCATGCGGTCGGCTAGCTCAGTCGATTGATACCGGCTGAAAATCGTACCATTGTTTGAAAGCAATAGACCTATTCGGCTAACTCAATGTTGTACCCAATTCAAATCTCCTAGGGTTAAGATTCTTTGTGTATTGTATTTGCATTATGTTACATTCACATTTAAATGATATGGAAATTCCTGAAACAAAACGTTTTATTCCCAAAGGATTTGAATTGGGTACAACATTTAGTTAGCCGAATAGGTCTATTCTTAGTGCCTCATCATAAAACGCTTCCATTGCAATAGTAGCCACATAACGTATAAGTATAAAGATTATTTTAAAAGAACAACGCAAAAAAGGAATAAACAGGAGCCCATAACTATGGCATAAATTTCAACCGCTTATCAGCAAATAAAAAAATTCCTTCCGGGTCGTTGCGTTGCGTATTCCGCAAAACAAACGTTATCGATTCAACAAATAAAGATACCAGATGTTAAACGGAACATTCAGGGAACAAATTATTTTTTAAAGATCAATTCTTTAACATCTACGCTCATACAGAAAAGATACAAGGAACATTCCCAGTGAACTACATCAGTATAAGGCGTTTAAAACTTCCCAAATGGACCAAAAAGCTCTTGAATACTGATATTATGGCTCTCTCGGGCGTCTCAGGGTCGATGGAAGAGGATTTCTTGACCAAACGCCAATCTTGAAAAACTGTTCGCCGTAGAGAAATCAAGTTGCCGCACATGCACAGAACCGTGTCACAGTCCCTTTAAGAGCTGTTCAGAACCAGATAATAACGAGAGCGCAAGTAGAGCCATTTGAACGTGGTCAGGAGGTTTATAAGCGAAGAAGAATCAAATCTCTTGATCCGTGAATGGAAGGTGGATTTCTAGTAGTCAGTGGAAGATTGCAAAAGGCACAAGCCCTCCCTTACAAGACATGACACCCGAAGATATTTGACTCACCGTCACGAGCTTGCGCAGCTAATCATTGAAGACATACATCGTACCTACCACCATCCACCAACGGAACATTTGCTGAATCAAATTAGACAGGAGTATTGTATCATCCATTGTCATCAAGCTATAAGGAGCGTGCAATTTAAAGGAACAGTATCCCGTTACTGCGCAAGCACCAAACTTTGATTTTTGGACAGGATGTCACGAAATCAAAAGATGCTAGGAGAGTAAGAGAACCTTGAAAAATCCGTTTGCATCGCGCTTGGCCGGGTTCAATACGACAATTAAACTTCTCAGGATTACAGATCAGTGATATATTGTTCCGGTTAAGTTTCGATTTGGGCAAAATCTAGATTTTATGGCGTTACTTTTATTGCCGTTGGCCGGAGGACCAAAAGATTGGAAGCACTTTGATGCCGATTGAAGGCTTATTTCTTCTGCTAGCTTCCATACAAGCTCAGATAATAGTGAAAGGAATACGCAGAAATGAAACAGAAACAATAGAGACTGTAAGAAAGAAACCATTGAGACATGGATGTGACTGAGGAGATCTTGTGAAGGGGAGCTTCGCGAAGCAGAATGTTTTGCAACGACGCGTTAGTAAACTTTTAAATCAATCTCCCTACGGCCGACAAAATCAAACAAACAGGCGCTACATGTTTAGAAAAACTAGTGCCCTGAAATCATAATAGAATTTTTACTAACCTTTGTGATGATTCATAGCGTTGAGATTGCATTTTTTTGTCTTTCAACGTTTGAGGTTAGAACGCGAGCAAATCAGGCAGATATTACTGGACTTGGCACAATTGACCTCTGACACGAGTTTCAAATTTGAAAATATGTTTTTAAAGCGAGCGAAACGAGATTTTCGGGTCGCGAGGCGGCCCAGCTAGCGATAAAATCGCGATGAGTCTTCGAACCGCGAGCCAAATATTTATTTAAGACGAAAGACTTCTTCGATCGCGAAAGTCTAAAATATTACTTGGGAATATAAACAACAAAACCCCGTCGGCGGTGCGGTCCGGAAGGAAGTCTTGTCGAGTCAATATGACAGTTCTATTGTCTTTTGAAGAAAAAACAGATGACGCTCGCGCGTGCGCATAATCGGGACACTGTCCCTTTAAGTGCAGTTACTGTTATTGTCAGACAGTAAAACCCCAGGAGCAGCGAATGAAAAACTTACCTGAGTGTAGAATTGAACCTGGAATAATATTCAGGAACACTGGGGTTGACTTTTTCGGTCCTGTGATAATTAAGGAGAGAGGCAGTGAAGTTAAAGTGTATGGTTGTTTGTTTGTTTGCATGGCTACTAGAGCTTGCCATTTTGAACTGGTGGATGATCTATCAACGGATCATTTCATTATGGCTTTGAAATGATCCATTGCGAGGTATGGGAGACCACAAAGAGTACACAGCAATAATGGCACTTACTTTGTAGGAGCCAATAATGAGCTTTTGAAATGTGTTAAGCAGCTAAATGAAGTGAAAGTACAAAACTTCTGTGCACCAAGGAGATTAAGTGGAATTTCCAACCGCCAAGTGCAACCCACTTTTGTGGCGCCGGGGAGAGGCTAGTACAGTGTACAAAGAAAAACTTGAAATCTGTGCTGCGAAACAGGATTGTTGCTAAAGAAGCGCTTAGAATTTCTCTCGTGGAAGCAGGAGGGATACTGAACAGTTGCTCCATCACACGTTTCAAGCGATGCGGGTGATATAGAAGCGCTGAAGTCAAATCATTTTCTGCTTCTGCGAGAACACCCGAGTTATGAAGAGGCTGATGTCAGTCAGAGAGAGATCAACTCAACGAACTTTCGCGAAAACAAAGGACGAAATTCGGCGAACTTCGCTCTCATTACTTTTGCACAGTACTGTATGGCGACATTCCCAAGCGCTTGTCATATCCCTAGTCTTACAGAGAGGAAGAGGTGGAGAGAGAAGAGAAAGAATCCGAAGGAAGGAGACGTTGTGCTAGTTGCAGAACCAAACCAGCCACGGGGAGTATAGCCTTTGGTTAGGATTGTGTCCATTCATCCTGGACAAGATGGAATGGTCCGAGCAGTCACAGTACGTACTCAATACGGGGAATACAAGAGAGCAATCACAAAACTGTGTTTCTTAGAGGAGGCGGAGACCTAGGACTAGAAATTGTAAAAGTATCTGCAAGAAATTGAGTACATATCCTAAATACTAAGGAGAAATAGGCTTCAGTTAAATGAACAAAAAATAATTAATAATTAGCAATTATTGAATTCGGCTTTCGTAGGATACGAAGAATTCTGCAGTTCTCGGAGGGTGTTATCCACCGAGGCCGAAGGCCAAGGTGGATATCACACTCCGAGAACTGCAGAATTCTTCATATCCTACGAAAGCCAATTCAATAATTGTTTTATTATTCCTTCATAATACTTCCAAGTTTAAAAACAAGCTTAAACGTGCTTACCTCGATCGATGTTAAGTTCATATTGATAGCGCATCTTTATGGCAAGTTTAGGGGATAAAGGTTTTTTCAGGTCTGCAAATATACTCCGAATAGCACATATCGTCCGTCGAGGTATATTCTTGCTATGATTTTAGACAATATTTCGCTTTGAAACGAGTAGAATGTTTCGCCGACTATTCAGCCATTTTGCTCTCATTATCCAAACTCACTCTCGTCCCCAGGATTTCTCGGTTAACGGTTCAATAATCTGCAACTTGGACTGCCCTTTTGACGTCATCGGTTTAATACGACAAAATTATTACCAAATTTGGTCAACAGTAGCTCTTTATAATGAATCATGCGCGTGCTTTTAGCCAATCAGAAATGGAGAAATATTGTGAATGAATAATAATGTGATTTATGCATATCTCGGAGGCTTTCCACCTCGGCCTATCACATTCTCTTCGAATATCCCCATAATTCTTAGTCACATCATACTCAGCCTGGTTCAATAGCTTTTTACCAGTTGTGTCCCTGACACCATTAAGTTAACAATGTCAGTTATCACTTCATCAGTTCCCAGCTTCTCTCTGCCTTCAAGTTGACGCGAAGGAGAGAGACCTGTCACTCCAGTTCAGAAAAGATCCAAGATCCTATTTGTTTCCGACAAATAGGATCGTGGGATAAAAATATAAATAATATATAAATATATAAATAAGAAAACCGCAAGTGCCACTGCCTTTGTATAATTGACTGCTGAAAATGCTTTGGATACTGTTGATTCGTCTGTTTCAATTAATATGTGATCGATTTGTTGTTGTTTTCTTTCCCGCTCTGTTATTAATTTTTTAAGTAACAATTATAATTGCTTTTGTATTTATTTTTTCAGAGTGCATTCTACCTGGTTCCGTGTTTTGGGGATTATGGTCGCGAAAAGGCAACGCACTTAACTACTACAGAGCTTTCATCACAAAAATTACAGCCAGTCACATCAATTTCCTTTTACAAATAAACAATGCTCAGTGGCGCAGTTACAAGAGGACTGAACCAGTGCTCGTTATAGATAAAATCCCAGAAATGAAGGAAACCTCTGTTAATTCATCAGTTATTGCTGTTCACCAACATAGTATGCCAGAATGGTATCGCGCTGGTAATGTGACTGGTACCAATGGGCGTTTATCCTTGGTAACTGTCAGGTTTAAAAACGGGGACCAGAAATTGGTTCCGCTCAACCAACTCCGGTTGGTGAAAAGACCTAAATTTTGTGTGGATAGAGTTTGAGACAATATAAAAATACAAACCTAGTAGCGTAAAAAGATGTTCTGATATGAGAAAGAATATAATTGCCAAATAGCTCCAAAGATAAAAAATGAGTTTAAATCATCTGAAAACTGGACTAAGCGTCAGCAAAGCTCATAGCTTTGATTTTCAAAATAATTTAGCCGCATTGTGAGATAATAAAAGAAGCATGAATACGAAAAAGTTAAGATCAAAGATCTTAACAGAGTTGACTTAACGCCTGTCAGTACATGAAGGTGGGGGACCCTAGATAGGTGAGGTAACACGCTTAGGTGGGGTAAAAAAAACAAATAACCTGCTTGTACATGAAATTTTCCAACCCCACCAGTTCGGGTACCCTTTTTTAGGATTATTTAATCTATATTCGCGAAGCCCGTACATCTAGTTGTAGTAACGTTGTCATAGAAATTTTTTTAAAAAGAGAGAGAAATGATAAAGAGCTAAATTGGATTATATTTGGCATGCCATAGAAAATCAAGGATTTGGTCTGACGAAAGAATGAGGTATAAAACATTTCAAACGTGTCCAGTTGATTTAACTTCATTAATCTCAATTAACTGAAGTATAATTTTGAGCTGCAAATGTTAATCAGCAGCAATATGCAAACATAATTTGCCTATTTAATGCCTTTTTGTTTTTGTTTTTGCAACGTTAATGTAAACAAAAAAGACAAGCACACGACGTGTTTTGCTGGTTACTGCTCCTCTACTCTAACTTACTGCTCTTTCTGCAACCTTTCACTGCTGTGGCTTTCTGTTGTCACGTTCAATGGTGCCATTAAGTTGCGAATTTGATGTAAAGCGAATTCGACCTTGGGTAGGCGGGTTACCCTTTCACCTTGGATTGTTAACATGGCAAACTTTGATCCCGGCTGAGAGGGTCGAGCCAGTCTGCTAGACTCGGCGGGTCAACCCACGCTCAGGTTAACGTGATGAAATAAAAATGAGAGATTGACTTGACTTATATGGGCAGGCGGGTTAACACGTACACCTAAGCGGGTTAGCTTTCCTACTTAGGCTTCCCCACCTACATGCAAACGTTCACGGTTGGCATGCCATTTGATTTATCTTATAATGGAATTAACTTAATTGAATTTCTAGAAAAATTAAACGAATGAGTTTGCCGTTTAAGATAGATGTAAAAGCAGAAGATCTGACCATTTAGAAGATGAGATATATTGAAGTTTTAAATTTGTTTTGCTAGTGTGATGAAGACATCGCTGAATTTTTTAATGGATGGTTAGAAATATGTGAAATGTTCCGTAGAGCTCGAGCACCAGTTGAGTTAAATGGAAGAGAGTGGTATGGATTCAAATGGTATCCAGCACTTATCTCGTACCCAGATCTCACTCCGCCTTACGGTGAAAAGTGAGATCTCTCTTTCCCCTGGCAGTGGGAAATCTGGGTACAAGATTAATTCAGTGCTTACCCTGAATAGTGACTGCTTCGGTCGCATAACACACTAAATATTTTTATCGCGCTAGTTCTTATTTTTTATCTTTTTTTGTTTCTAGATCGTTAACTGAGTTCGCGGAAGGCTGGCCCAGTTTGTAAAATACTTTCTATTTTCACTTCGGGGGTATTTCTGGAATTTCGTGGTGGGCCGTGTGCCGTCTCCAAATCCCGACCCTAGACCGTATTTGAGACCAATACCTATATGGCAAGTGTAGGGGAGGACCCCCGGGATTTTTTGTCCAAAATGTTTTCTTTTTCTCTGTGGGGGGGTTTTGTGGTATGTGTGGGGGGGGCGTGGCCCCCCCCCAACCCACCCCCCAAGGTGTGATTAAAACACAAAACTTTATGGGAGTGGGGGGGGGTGACCCCGCGGGTTTTTTTAAAAAAAAAGGACTTGTATTTTTTTAAAAGTTTCGGGGGGGGGGGGGGGGGGGGGGGGGGGGGGGGCATTCCTGGTATTTTGTGGTGGGGGTGTGTTGTCCGGCTCTACAGATCCTGACCCTAGACCTTATTTTAGATAAACATATATAAGGCAAATGTAAGGGAGTATTCCCCCGGAGATTTTCGTTATCATGATGATGGACACTATCAATTATTAACTTGGTAACGATAAAACATGTTAAGCGAAGGCAGCCATTAAATGAAGATGCTTTTAAAGCTAGCTCACTTTGCTCAGTTTTTCATCGTCTCCTTCAAAAGATGCTACGTAACAATGAGTACTTCTCGGGGTTTGTCAGTCAAGCATCGATGTCATCTTTGGCGTAACGCAAAGATGTCACGGTAAAGGAGCAAATCCTTGTGTCAGTGATTCACACGATTTCTAATCAGATTGGTTAGGTGTTTTCAAATATATATGAAGAAATATTAGTCTCAAGATAATATATATGAAGAAATTTTAGTCTCAAGATAAAGTAGGTTTCTTCTTTAAGCACGGTTTTAAACTCAGTTCTTAAATAATTGTGATGAACGAGAACACACATCTAAATAAAATTACTCTCTCTTAACATGTACGTTTTCCAATGACCTGAGGTAGTAGAGGAAAGGTAAGGCTGATTAGAAGATACAACATTTTGTCGGTTCGCTGTCTATTCATTCTTTGGTTATCTTGCACCTAGCTTTTGTCATTGTTTGGAGAATACCTGCTAGGCACGATAACTATCCCCTTAGAGTGCGATAATAATAGCAATGCTGAGTTGTAAATTTCAGCTACAATATCATAACACCAGTTTCTCGTCTAAGCATTATTTTAATCTCCACCAGCAAGAAACCATTCCCAAATATTGAGTTACGATTAGAGAATAAGAAATGTATAAAGAGCTAGCTAAAATGATGAACTCCTTTTAAGCCTTGAAGTTTTAGAATGGCCTGTATTGGCATGCCCGGATAACTGTAACTCTGGGCTCGCAAGAGAATTTGATTATCAAACATCATATGACCAAACAGGCACCGCCAGAGTTCCCATTTAAATGGCTATTTGTTTCCTGCTTGAGTTTTGTAATAAAAGATTGCAACTTTTTCTGTGTCAATGAACACTGATGTCAATGATACCAGCTCATCTAGCCATATCAAAAACGTTTAACCCGGAAGCATAATACATCCGAGCTTATCTTTCTTGTAACGAGACACACTGGTTCTCGCTTGCGATGTTTGATAGTCATCACCGTTCACTGAATTTAACGACCTTGTTGTTCATCTCTTAAGACTTCGACATGACAGAATAGACGGTCCAGGTGTAGAGAACAGTACAAAAGAAATGGCTCGTGATTTTAGTAAGCTCTAAATCTACGAAATCGAGGCTCGCCTGATTTGAGTTGAGGCGAAATGTTTGATCGATGCAACTTATCATTGATGCAGCTTATCATTGTCGAACATTAGCCTTCCATTTCGATGCTTTCTCTGTCTTTTCTTTCAATTGTTTTATTTGCTTTTCTCGCGCTTCAATTTTTCTCATCAGATCAGTATTTTCTTTCAAGTGATCCTGATAAGCACTTTCGGTCTGCGTTCTCTCCGCCTCAGTGTCTTCGAGAGATTTGTCCTTCAGCGACAAAGCTTCGTTCATAGTTTTCATTATTTGCTTATACTCGAACAGCTTTTCATCTCTTTCTTTTCTTAATGTCTCGAGATCGTGAATGAGGTCTCCTTCCTTCTTATGCCTGTCCCTAATGTATTTATTCCTTTTCTCAATTTTTGATTTCAGGTCGCGTATTAAATCTTGAGCATCACTTAACGCTTGCCTTGAGGCCATATTATCATACTCCAGCTTTCGCATCTCCTTTTGTTGACGATAAATCACGCTAAGGTTTTCTCGAAACGATTTTCCATGAACTGTCTTACTGTTGTCTTTTAAAGACGAATGTAAGCAAGGTTCAGTAAAAGCTCGTGATCTTGGTGACAAGAATGGCATGCGGGCTACCGAGGTCGGCTCACTTCGAGACAAATGATTTGGATTGTGACCCGGAGAAGCTGAGTTCAAAACACCCAATCTATTCATGTCCTGNATCGAGGCTCGCCTGACTTGAGTTGAGGCGAAATGTTTGATCGATGCAACTTATCATTGATGCAGCTTATCATTGTCGAACATTAGCCTTCCATTTCGATGCTTTCTCTGTCTTTTCTTTCAATTGTTTTATTTGCTTTTCCCGCGCTTCAATTTTTCTCATCAGATCAGTATTTTCTTTCAAGTGATCCTGATAAGCACTTTCGGTCTGCGTTCTCTCCGCCTCAGTGTCTTCGAGAGATTTGTCCTTCAGCGACAAAGCTTCGTTCATAGTTTTCATTATTTGCTTATACTCGAACAGCTTTTCATCTCTTTCTTTTCTTAACGTCTCGAGATCGTGAATGAGGTCTCCTTCCTTCTTATGCCTGTCCCTAATGTATTTATTCCTTTTCTCAATTTTTGATTTCAGGTCGCGTATTAAATCTTGAGCATCACTTAACGCTTGCCTTGAGGCCATGTTATCATACTCCAGCTTTCTCATCTCCTTTTGTTGACGATAAATCACGCTAAGGTTTTCTCGAAACGATTTTCCATGAACTGTCTTACTGTTGTCTTCTAAAGACGAATGTAAGCAAGGTTCAGTAAAAGCTCGTGATCTTGGTGACAAGAATGGCATGCGGGCTTCCGAGGTCGGCTCACTTCGAGACAAATGATTTGGATTGTGACCCGGAGAAGCTGAGTTCAAAACACCCGATCTATTCATGTCCTGTTTAGGCAGTTTCATGTCTCCTGTTTTTAAAGAACGATGACTGTAACGATCCGACTTAACCCTTGAGGCTCCGGTTGTCTTTGAATTTGTTGTATTGGGAAGCTTGATATTCCTGCATCCATGTCCATGTGGTTTCTTATGCAGTAACTTTAATTCTGCCCATTCGGTTTCATCCACCATTTCCCACGCAAGACGTTGCTCAATAGCCTTGCCTTCGGTTTTTCTGTCTTTTACAGCGAAAGCACGTCCACTGGAATGGTTCTCTTGGCTAACTGAAGGCAAAGAACGCGAAGTTAATAACTCTTCTGCCATGATAAAAGATTGGATTGTCATCTGGTTCGATAGAGTGCTGACACAAAGACAGAACCAGCTACCTCCGTTCGTTTGTAAGACTCTTCATACAACTTAACTCGATCGGAGGATACATAAGCAAAATATTTAGAGTTACTGCTGTGCTATTCTACGTTAGCAACACCGTTAAGAGTGTATTGTTTACAAACTCCTGCAGAGCCACCTCCAAGTGTGTGCAATTAATACCTAGAGGCGTCAATCAACGCAATATCACAAAGACTCAAAACTGCGTCACCATAATGACGATTCACAGTGATCCACAATTATTCCCGCTTCCTGCGATAACGGCCGGTGTTCGGATGAAATCTTCCTGTACAAACTACATATTTGATTCTTTCCCGGATTCGTCTATGAAGAAAATCTGTTTTATTATATGTCTACTAAAGTTGTAACCCAATTAACAGATAAGACCATGAGACCATTCATCCCATTTTGCGTGATCTCAATAGTAAATAAAATTGACCAAATTTATGGTATTTCCGGAATGCCCTTCTGGTTAAAGGCAAATATTTTTATAGTTTTAGCTGAGCACAGGCAACTAAATTAAAATGTTCTATTCATGTAAAAACGCTGTCAATTATATCAATAAAAATATGAACTACACGAGACAATTCCGACAAGCTTAATGGTGGATCTAAAAATGGATCAAACAGATTAAAGCCAAGCAAGTCAAAGTACATGTATGATGACCGCCTATGATGGATATGTACTAGATCCTTTATAGCCGAATCGCCGATTTCCTTAGTCGCATAGTATAAGTGCACTTACGTACTTTTTTGTACAACCGTTTGAGGGCTCATAAAACCTTTGCGCTAAGGATCTATAAAGTGGCCCAGTGTTGTACTTGTATATTCGTAGAGAACTAAAGTACAGCAAACAACAACAACCCAATGTTAATTAGGGCATTATAAGTGCTTCTTTTGTTTATCAGTTTTTTGTGGGAAACAAGACACAAAAGCTACAACGGGTGATTAATGTTGATCCTGACCAAAAATTGTAAACTTTCTTCGTTTATAGAGTAAATATCTAAACTGATTGCTTAAAATAACATTACAGATACTGGTGTGGGGTGTAATTATAAGTAATTTAAAACTCGTCAAAGTCACAGTTGTCGGTTTTTGTACCCGGTCATGGATGATCTGTCTGATTGGTGTCACGGGAATCAAAAAAACAAACATTTTAAATTCTTTTTCACTGGGGACAATTATGTCTTAAAAATCTGCATTAAGAAGACTGCGTTTTACTCAAAGATAATTTTTGCTTCCCGAAAACCTATGAATGAATACAAGACTTTTGTAGGCTGAGAAGATGGTCGAGAATTGAAAGACCAAAGTTCGACGTCAACCGCGGCTTCAGAGTCAGTTCGGCTGACTTGAGGCGACGGCGACTTGCAGTATCGTAAGGACGGTGTGAAAGTCAGCAGAACGCTAGTAGTAGCTAAAAGGCTTCTGTCAACCATTCATAGAGCCATGAAGAAGACAATAATATGTCAACAGGAGCGAACAATTCAAGAAAATAACGAGGCGCTGCTTCTACTTGAGAGGAACAAAGTCGACATCATGAACGAAGTCGCCAGAGCGAACCACGAAATTGAAGAACTTAAGGCGAAACTTGCCAAGAAGAACAACGTATTAAAGAATTCTCAAGACCTACAAGATACCCTGTTACTTCAGGCAGAGAAACTGAGGTTAGAAAAGGAACAGTTAAATCAAAGATGCGAAAATGCTGTAAACGAAATGAGAGATCGATTGCAGGTCAAAGATAACATCATTTTGCAAGTGCGAGAGGAAATCGAAAAATACATCAAGTTGCAGAGAGAGGTTAAGCAAAGGAATGAGGTTTTAAAGGGAAGGCTTGAGAAAAGAGAAAAAATTGTCACGGGACTGAAAACTAAATTAACAATGTTGACTTCATGGAGCGTTCGGTCAGCAAGCGTCACGCAACTGACTCCACCAGCACCTACAAGTGCAAAAATGGAAACTGTAGAAGAGTCTTCTTGATAATGATCCGTCGGATTCTTACTAGTGAAATGGTATCTTAGAACATACGTAACTTAAAACAATAACCAGGTTCCCTAAATCTCAAAGTCGCCGTAAATTCAGTGATTTGTTATCGTCATTTAATTCATGACGAAAGAGAAATACGTAATGTTGTTCCGGCGAATTTATATTTCTTTACTTTTGAGCTTAATTGTGTACGAGCTATACTTTCACATGGTTGTAGTATATTCAGTTTTCTAGTTAGTAAAGTTCTAAGCTCAGTGTCGAGTCTGGGTCTATCAAGTTCTATTATGTGCTAATTCAAATAAACCTCTCCAGCAGAACATTTACTCGTTGCTATCCACGAAATTCTGGGTTTGAAAGCGAAACTGCTGGAAATGTAAGTTGGAGGAACGTCATCATGTAATTAGTTAGTTTAGTCAAACCTGCAATTTTATTTAAAGGAAGTTACTTTGTGGCACGTTAGCTTGTATAGGGATCAAAGAGCATTTGCCAGTCTATTCCCTTTTGTGTAGTATTTCTAGTATTAATGCGTCTCTGTTTAGCACTTTTCTTGGTTTGCTGAATAGGTTTGGTTCTGAAAATTAACACATACCAACGCAAGTTAGTCTAAAGTGACATAATCATTACGATGTTTGCCAAAAATATAAATGAGACCTGTTTACGTGCAAAGTCATATATGCCACATTTATTTGCTTGTATTATTGATATATTTCCGCTAATGATAATGAAGACTTTGTGAAGCTTGTAAATAAGTAAGAAGCACAATCGTCATACAGGTCTTGGACAAAAGCAAATTAAAATATGTCAACCTAATAAGCCTACTGGGGCATAGGGCGCTGTCATCGAGAGATATGGACAAACACAAAGATAAGAATCTTAACAATGAAAAAGTAGCTAAAACTGTTCCTGTGAATGAACTGAGAGTTGCCTTTCGTCGTGAAAAATGAAAAGGAAAAGATTGCAATTTAAAGACTTAGGTTTAGGGTTTTTCAAGTTGTGTCGGGCAGTTGTGTCATGTTTCGGACAAACTCCCAATAATCGGCAACTGCTTTGCTTTTCTGTCATTAATTAAATTGAAAACTAATCCGTAAGTGTTGCAAATGTCGCATATACAAAATAAACTTTTGTACTCGCATAAAATGATAACAAACTTAGTATGACAAGAATTCCCGTAATGGTGCCTCTTTTGTCAGCAGCTCCTTTGTATGATTTGCCTATAGATTTCAAGAGCTCTCTTTGAGGCGAATAAGGTATTATTCACGAGCGGGAGATTAAAGTCCTGAATTTTTTTCAGGCTTCCTACGCAATTGGATAAACTGCGTTCACAACCGCGAGGATCACTCTAATTTGATTTCATTTCCGCAGTTCTCATATATGATTTATTTCATATACATATGTCACATGATATATATTCTTGTTTCATTCAGAAACCTCAGGGGCACCCAACGAGGATATAGTTCAAAACCACTTAACATAGCATTGTTGAACGTGTTTTAGTATTTAAACGGTAGATATAGGCATATTTTTATCCCCTAAAAACTCTTCATCTGTTCGGATTTCCTAGCTGAAAGTCTAGTGGTCCGAAAATTATAGGGATCAAAACTTACCTTTTCGAAAATTTCAGCGAGGAAAAGGCTCCCGAAAATTCTAGGTGGCCTTTTTTAGGGTAAAAATCTGTTAAAAATGGGTAATTATACCATTTTGTAGATGTTCGAAAATCCTAGGAGAGGCAGACAAGCAAGTGATTTTACAACAAATGTTCCGAAAATTCTAGATCTCAAATCGTCTTCCGAACAGATATTTTCCGAAAATTGCCGTTGGGTGCCCCTGAAACCTACAAAGTTTTTTACTATAGTTGTATCTAACAATCAGTGTTGAAAGTAGCTTAAAATATTCTGACATCTCCCTTAAGTGATAGTGAAAGCTACTCTTACCATTACAGTGTAAATCAAATGACACTAAAAAAGATTGCTTCAGAATGAATATACAAAATGTAGATGGGGATTTTTTGATTAATAGTGATACGTAAAGGAAAGCGACCAAGTTCAGCTCTACAAGCAATATTAGAAGCCTTGTTGTTTACCTATAAGTAACCGTTAAAAAACTGAAGGTGCGTCCTTTCGATTTGTTAGCCATCCCAGGTCTTAAAATCAGGTTTGGCATACACACTCCAAATTTCACTATTATATGTCAGAATAGGGAAGATGTTTTTAGTGGCATATTGCGAGGACATTCTTTGTCATTACTCCTCTTTTTCATGGCACTTGCATCTTTTAGACGCTCTTGCAAGAAAGTGGATGCGAGTGCGAAACCAAAGGGCCAGAAATCAACCACCAGTTCATGGTTGACTTGAAAAACTATGCCAAAGATGATAACCAGACCAACTTACTTACCGTTGTTACGAAATAACCCGACGACATCCGAATAGAATAGATGTTGGAAAAGTGTGCGAAAATAACTTTTAAACGAGGTTAACTTACAGAAACCGCAAAAAGAACTCATGCTGACAGTAACCTGGCTGTTCCCGTTGTCACCTACAGTTTCAAGTGTATACTGGAAGATGAGTGAGAACAAGAGGCTTGACATAAAAACAAGGAAATCACTTACCATCCAAAGAAAGCACCACCCGAACGCAGACGTGAATAGGATGTACCTCCCAGGAGAGTCTTGAGAGGTGGTTTCACCAAGTTAGAACTTGAACTGTATATACAAATTAAAGACGATAGGGCTCAGTGATGTACACTTAAGAAAACTGATAATACTCTACTCCAGTTAGTACTTGAACACGAGACAACAAGAAACTTTATTCCATTTAAAAAGAGGCAGAGAGATTCAGAAGGGAATTTGAGAAACCAAACCTCGCCTGACAGAGCAGCAAATGAAGCAGTTACTAAATTTGCGAAGAGAGTGAAGCAGAATTCAAAGCAGCAGGCCCAAGATATAGAAATGAGGCAGTGGGAAGAAAAACAACTACACGAAGATACTCCAATCGAATGAGAGAAGCGGATGTTGGTGATCACAAAACCAACCAGTGCCTCAGAAGTACGAAAAAGCTGAAAGCTGAGATAGAGGGTCTGAAAAATTCATCCCAAGACAAGAGCCTCCCTTCCAAATTTTATTTTGCAAGAATTCAGTGTGAAGAATGATAGCAGTCCACTATACATGATATGTAACGAGCAAGAAGAAACGGTAAATCATTTTATGTCTGGATGTCTTGAACTTGCAAAAAATGAGTACCTAGAGAGGCACAATAAGGCGGCTGCATATATCCATTGGAAGGCGTGTCGGCATTAAAAAATCGAAGTACCGGAGAGCTGATATGAACACAAGCCTAAGACGGTTACTGAGAATGAAAAAAAAGTTACAATCCTTTGAAACATGCAGATAAACACGGAAAGAGTGTTGTCAGGGAACAAGCATGATAAAGTGATCAAGGACCACGCAACCCGCGATGTTACAATCTTGTCATTGTGTCAGTACCATAAGAACGAAACACCTCGACAAAGGTCGTTGGAAAGATTTCGAATTACCTAAACGTCCTTGAGATCGAAATCACGAGAATGAACCAGTAAGCTACAAAAGATCACCCTTTTGGAAACGCCACATATACTTAGAGTCAATTTATGGCACTAGGAAAAATTACATAATCATAATCGTAACTATAACAATAACAACTGTAATAATGATGGTAATAATAATAATAATAATAATAATAATAATAATAATAATAATAATAATAATAATGATAACAAAATATGATTCTGCTCAATTTAATTTATTAGAAGGTTTTACAATTAATTAATCAATTAATTAATCAAACAATCAACCAATCACTCCATCAATTAATAAATTCACCAATCCATCCATCAATCAATTATTAAATTTGCCCATCCATCAGTCAATCATTTGGTTCCGCTAGCGTTTCTTTTGACACGCTATCCGCGTAAAGAATTCCATTTTTTGGAAATTTTCTTCAGCTGAATAAAACGTACCATTTGAAAGCACTAATTCAAATGAAAGATTGCGGTGCGTCTGTGTTCACTTAAGTTTATAAGTTACAGAAGTACTATCGGTACGTTTCCTTAAAAGTAACTCAGAGAATGACCACAGAAATTTTTTATGGATTAATATTTTAATTGAACTGTTAATTTATTTGACCAATCTGACATGGGACGTGGCTTAAATCATATTGATTACCACAAGGCTTTTGACCTAGTTGGCCGTGCTACACTGTTAAAAAACTCGCCATCCGGGAGTTTTAAGAATTGTTCAACTGCTATCTTAAGGACCGTAAACAGATGGTCATGATACAAGGTCGACTATCGTCCTCTCAGTCTATTATCGCAGGCTTTTCTCAACCCCTTGATCCTCGGTCCCCTGTTATTTATCCTGTTCATCAACGACCTGTCACTGGAAATCTCCAACAGCAGTGTTGAAATTTACGCTGATGATACAACACAAATTGCATGCGAACTGATGAAGAGGTAGAGTCCACTTCCTGATAAACCAAGGCTGGGCCGTGCCGGTGAGAATGGTTTAAAGCAGAACAAGGCAAAGTCAATGATTGTCTGCAGCAAGGCAAGCAGCGAAGTTTGGGGGCTTGGACGGAAAAATCTTAACTTGAGTACATATAGGGGCCAACTTGATTCTGTAGCAGAAAGTAAACTACTTGGCATAAAGGTAGACAACTGTTTAACCTGGGACAACCATATCGCGTAAATAGGGAAGCGACTTTACTTACTGAAAAGAACAAAGAAATTTCTTTTTCTGAAAGAAAGAACATTCTTCCGTAACTCAATAATCCAGCCGACACTAGACTCCACGAGGTGGATGTCTGGGGGTCAAAAAAAAAAATAAAAACAATATTAACGCTGAAGCACACGTACCAACTCCACGGTATGGCCATTACCTTACGCATGCGCACTACCATATAGCCGTTGGGTCTATGAGCGGACGAACCGGCGTATCAAAGACCCTCTCAGGTCTTGTGAGTCTTCCCACGCAATGTCACGAAAGATAAAAAGTCTTAGGAAAATCTTCTCCAACCGAACCAGAAAAAACTGAACAGCTCGTCGGTTTTCGGCCAGATATTGATTTTACTGGGCCTTGCTAATAATGTGATAGTATCGAACTGTGAAAATCAAAATGTATAAACCAAGGCAATTTGAGGCTAACTTTTTTTCCTTCAAAGTATATTATTTTCTAATATTGCTTTTAAAGCCTTTATTTACATTGTTTCCAAGTACTGAAAACAACTATACTTTCGATTTCGGTCCATCCGAACTTGGCGCCCGTTTGATCGACGAAGCGAGTTGATGTCTAGTCAATGTGCATGCCGATTTACGTTTTGCAGTCTAGGGTGGGGAGGTGTGCAGCGCCTTGTAAAAAGGACACGTTGGAGTGACGACGTGTCCCGCGTTGACCTTTTGCTATCATTTCTATCGTCACGCCAAAAAAAGGCGTTGAACAACGTTGGAAATAGCCTGTATTTCATCCGATTACTTAGAGTCGTTATTACGGAGAAAAAGACTCGAAGCATTAATCGGATGAAATTCAGGCTACGTGGGAAAATCATTCTTCATCATTTGATAAAGTTGCACGCATTCATGGGAATCGTTGCTAATGCGTTACCAATTATTGAGAAACGTTGCAATGCATTTTAAAGCATTCAAATGCGTTGAACGAAGCATAATAAATGTATGGGGCTGTACAAATATCCATATAAGGATATGACATATGTAGCATCATTCTACCATTTTCATTGTACTCTTCAGCAGTAGTCACATGCGCTTCTCAAGCGCCTATTTTTTTACTAGTACGCGGAACTCGATTCCAAGGTGTTTTTATTCCTTACAACCGTGACAGCGTAAACGACGTAAAGAACTGAACGTTGCACTGGTCAGCAACTCGTGCAACGTTGAGTCAATTTGCGAGTTCAGTGGCAAGAAAATTGACCATTGTAAAGGAGCAAACAGTCGCGCCAGCTGTTACCTTCTTGCTGACAACAAAAAATATTATTATGCAAGGGCACCCAACACGAGAATATATAGTTCAAAAGCACTTAAACATAGCATTGTTAAACGTATTTTAGTATTTAAACGGCAGATATGGGCATAATTTTAACCCCTAAAAATTTTTCATCTGTTCGGATTTCCTAGCTGAAAGTCTAGTGATCCAAAATTATACTTACTTTTTCGAAAATTTCAGCCAGAAAAAAGGCTCCCGAAAATTCTAGGTGACCTTAATTTTTAGGGTAAAAATCCGTTAAAAATGGGCAATTGTACCATTTTTTAGATGTTCGAAAATCCTAGGAGAGGCAGGCAACAAGAAATTTCATAACAAATGTTCCGAAAATTCTAGATCTCAAATCGTCTTCCGAACAGATATTTTCAGAAAATTGACGTTGGGTGCCCCTGATTACTGAGCAACAGAGCAAGCGACTTGGCGGGGTTTTGCCATCATAGAACAAACATTTCCTAATTAGGAGTGAAAGGCAAGTTTGTAACTATTCAGTATTCCATTACAGAAAAGAAAATATGTGGTATCTAACAGCAGGAACATATACAATCCAGGACATTAAAGTATATTTTTAAAAAAGCGAACATTCCATGCACAGCACCAAGATTACATTTACGTAAATGCTAACGCTGCGTGAACAGTTTCTTCGAAGGGCATTTCGCTCTATTATAACTCTTTGTACGAGGTATTTTTTATCCGCTGGTTACAAGTCTGGAAAATAGATGGTTTTATGTCCTTTTTATAACGATAACGAGGAAATTAGTTCGGCTACTTCTAAATAGCACTCCAAGTACATACAGCTTCAGGATTCACCTTCAACACATCACAATTCACTTGAAAACAAATGTAAGAGAAAGAAAATTCTGAATTACAAAGCAAGAACTAAAGGATTAACAAAAAACTGAATGCACACAATAACCCGTAAGAAACAA